GTAGGTGAAGTTGCAGCTGCTGAGTCTCCATTTTGATTCCCCACTCCTCCACGTGCAGTTGCTGGATGACCTTGGGCAAGCCACAGTTCTGATAAGAGCTGTCCTTGAAAAAGAGCAGTTTGTGTCAGAGTTCTCTCAGCCCCACCCACCTCCCAGGGTATCTGTTGTGGAGAGGGGAAGGGAAAGGAGTTTGTAAGCCGCTCTGAGACTCCCAAGTGAAGGGCGGGGTATGAATCCAATCTCTTCTTCTTCTAAAGTAGTATACAACTGATATAAGCTGAGATGTAGATATGCATCAGCATCTATGCCACACTAGAATATTATATCTTCTTCAGCAGTTCATGTTGTACTAAGCATTTAGCAGACTATTTCATCTCCAAATTCCCTTTTCTGCTGGAGTGTTTATTATTATCCAGCGGCTTGCTTTTGCTTCCAGAGCTTGAACCTCCAGCGGAGGTAAATCAGAATTTCCCAACTGACTTCAACAGAGCTGAGGATTCAGTGCATTCTGCTTAGATAAGGTTCCCCTGTTACCCTTTTTCAGGCTGTAATTAAACCGTACTTAGTACATCAATTTTCAAGCATTTGGGTAATGAACCTTCATTAATTTTCCCTCAGAATAGATTGCCACACTCCAGAGAGAGAGAGAGGCGTCTTCGAATCCTGCCCCCCTCATCTAGCTGTTTTTGCGCAAATTGGTTTCCAAGCCTATTAGCAGGGGAAAGTACGCTCTCGGAGTCTTTCAGTCTCCCTTTGAAGCATAATAGGTTATCATTTAATGAGAGCACGGAGTAAAGGGCATTTATCTTGCTCTGCAGTTGGATATTTGATCTCTGGGAACCCGAGCTGGCTACAAGTATTTTGTTGCCACAATTAATTTATTTGTTAGATCTTTTAGTTGCCACTCACCCAAAGGGTCTCGCGGCGATTTACAGCATTAATACCAATAAGGTAAAAAAAAAACACAAAAAGAAATAAAACATATTAACATTAAAATATTAAAATACGTGACTATCACCACACCACAATTAAAACAGCCCAAACATGTGGTTACCCTCCAAAGGCCAACCTAAATAGGGGCCTTTGCATGCCCTGGGGAAGTCCTGCAGGGCACGGGTGTCATCCGAGAGTGCATCCCACAGGGCCCTTCCTCTGGTGGCAACTAACCGATCCATCCTGGGGCCAGGCACCTGCAAGAGGCCCCTAGACGATGACTGAAGGGAGCGCTTGTCACTCTCTCTCCAGAGACCAGGCTGAACACCGGTAGCACTAGCAGTGTCCCTGGCGGGGTTTGGGGAGGGGAGGAACCTCACCAGAGTAGAATGCTGTAGTGTCTACTGTCCAAAGTGGCCGTTTTCTCTGGGGGGATGGATCCCTGTCGTCTGGAGATAAAAGTGGGAGACCTCCAGGCCCCACCTGGAACTTGGAAGCCAAAATGAGAGATCACGGGAAGCAGTGGTAAAACATCCGTGATAAAAATAAGCCAGGGCTATTTTTGGGCAGGAACGCACAGGAACAGAGTTTCGGCTGGCTTCCAAGTTGGCCATGCCCAGCAGGAACTCATTAGCATAATAGGCCACACCCAACAGCAGGAACTCATTAGGGTTGGCTACATTAGGGGTGTGTGGCCTAACATGCAAAGGGTTCCTGCTACAAAAAAAGGCCCTGGGTTTTGACAACAGACAAGGTAAACAGAACAACAAGCAAAAGGTGGGTGTGGCTGGAAGACCACACTTCTGGTAATGTGGGGGTGTGGCCTACTATGCTAATGAGCTGTTCTGTC